AACAATGGCAACAAGCCATGCAGGCTGAAATTCAAGCATTAGAGAATAATGGGACCTGGACTTTGGAACCACTTCCACCTGGGAAGAAAGCTATTGGGTGCAAATGGGTTTATCGAATCAAGTATAACTCTGACGGTTCTATTGAAAGATTTAAAGCACGACTCGTGATATTGGGAAATAACCAAGTTGAAGGACTTGATTACAATGAAACCTTTGCCCCGGTAGCGAAGATGGTGACTGTGCGCACGCTTCTAGCTGTTGCAGCTGCTAGAAAATGGGAGCTTCATCAAATGGATGTTCATAATGCGTTCTTACATGGGGATCTTGAAGAGGAGGTGTATATGAAACTTCCTCCAGGATTTCGATCTCAAGCTTCAGGTAAGGTTTGTAGACTTCGCAAGTCATTGTATGGATTAAAACAGGCTCCTCGATGTTGGTTTGCCAAATTGGATGGTGCTTTGAAACGCTATGGATTTGCACAATCCTCTTCTGATCATTTACTCTTTACTCTCCAACGTGAACGTGTGCAACTTTATGTGTTAGTTTACGTGGATGACTTGGTAATTTCAGGAAACGATAATGCTGCCATTAAAGTCTTCAAACTATACTTGAATGCATGCTTTCACATGAAAGATCTTGGAATGCTGAAATATTTTTTAGGCATTGAGGTGGCTCGTAACTCTACTGGCATTTTCTTGTGCCAACGCAAATATGCATTGGATATCATATCTGAAGTCGGATTGTTGGGAGCCAAGCCTGCTAGTTTTCCTATGGATCAACATCATCAATTACCTTTGGCTAAAGGTGCTCTTCTTCCAGATCCAGAACGTTATCACAGGTTGGTTGGTAGGTTGATTTACTTGTCTGTTACAAGGCCCGAACTTTCTTATTGTGTGCATACACTTGCTCAATTCATGCAACATCCGAGACAAGAACATTGGGACGCTGCCTTACGTGTTGTACGCTATTTGAAAGGTAATCCTGGACAAGGAATTTTGTTACATGCTAACTGTGATTTGCAGTTGTATGCTTGGTGTGATTCAGATTGGGCCAGTTGTCCTTTGACTAGGAGATCTCTTACTGGCTGGTTTATTCTTCTTGGTAATTCTCCTATATCTTGGAAAACTAAGAAACAACACACGGTCTCTCGCTCTTCCTCTAAAGCAGAATATCGATCTATGGCTACTACCACTTGTGAATTAAAATGGTTGAAGGAACTCTTATCATGTTTTGGGTGTGCTCATTCTGGACCTATGAAGCTTTATTGTGATAATCAGGCTGCTCTACACATCGCTGCTAATCCTGTTTTTCATGAGCGCACCAAACACATCGAGGTGGACTGTCACTTTGTACGTGATGAACTTTTGCAAGGAACTATTAGTACACATCATGTGCCATCTCATGCTCAACTGGCAGATATCTTCACCAAAGCTTTAGGAAAGACCCAATTTGATCGCATATTGTCCAAGTTGGGCATCTGTAATCCATCTGCACCAGCTTGAGGGGGGGTATTGGGATTATGGAGATCTTACGAAATCAGGATTATGGAGATCTTGCTGAATCTTCTATTCTGTAATTACTGATTTAATATCTTCCATATTTACTATAATTATCTTGTCATATCTGTTAATATAGGATAACAATCTGTACAGATTATATTTAGGAATAGTTACCTCATAATTAGCTAGAATTGAGGCAACAATTCCTGAACACTGTGTATACATATATATGTCTGGACAGCAATAAAGCACAGCAAGAATTGCATCACGAATTCTTCTTTATACTTATCATTTTAATTTTAATTTTGCCATTACCATTATTTGACATTTTAATTTTAGTCTTGCTATTACCATTATTTAGCAAAGAAATTACTCATCACTTTCTCCTATCATTCATGGACCCCTTATTTAAACATTTCAAGCAGTCTCCCTCTAGTGTTCCAGTGTTTAGGTCCAGAATTCTTTGAATATTTACGATACAAGTTGTTTAATTATGTATATATCTTATTGCATTGGACCTCACACTGTCATATCACATTTAAACAATTCAGAAGCAACTCACACTTTTAATTTAAAGGCAAAATTTTAAGCAATCCATACTATTTATTTTTTGTATGTGTTACCAATTTCTTCTGTTATTTTTTTCTCAGTTTGAAAGTATAAAAATATTTTTTTTATTCATAAGTTACTATACGTCTACGTATTGAAGGGCTTAGCATGACCCTTCATCATTCTTTACTAGATGTTTGGGTCTGGAATGGAGCACTGTCTAGGAGATATACGGCATGTGTGGGGTATGAGTGGCTATTAGCACAGGAGGATGGCTTTCATGACTTAGTGTGGGGTTGGATTTGGCGGCTCAGGATACTAGAGAATCTAAAATTCTTTTTGTGGCAGCTAGCTCATGAGTGCATCCCTTCTGCTCAGTTTCTCTTTTCACATCACATGGGTTTAGATACCTTGTGTCAATGTTGTCATAAAACAATTGAGGATGCATTTCATATTTTCTTTGGTTGTGATGTAGCTGTGACGCTATGGTAGTATGTGTTCCCTGGTTTGGTTTTACCACAATGGGGTACAATCAATTGGCTCTTATGATTGAAGGCTAACATTGACGAGTATGGGGTCATGCTTGTTATCTTATTATGGGAACTTTGGCTGAAATGCAACCGTCGAGTTTTTTCGGGATGATATCTCCCCCTCATGTTTTGGTTGGTTGTATTCAGGCTATGTCATCTCTTTTTAGAACGTTATGGGCACCACAAGAGAGGGTGGCTCAACAAGAGCGTCTGGTTACATGCTTACAAGCTAGCCAAAGGCAAGTCACGGTGCATGTGGATGGCAGTGCGCTTGGTAGCCCAGGTCCGGCGGGTTATGGAGGTTTATGTAGAGACAGCTTTGGTCGTTGGCTTATGGGTTTTTATGGGGATGCTGGAGTTGCATACAATCTCAAAGTGGAGTTATTAGCTATCCTACATGGTATGAAGTTGACGTAGAGAGCTAACTTTCGCAATATACTTTGTGTTTCTGATTCTTTACTAGCAGTCAATTTGTTGTGGGGACCATTGGATGTGTTTCATAATTATGCTCCTATCATTGCTCACATTAAGGAGTTACTGCAACAATCTTGGAGTGTTTGTGTTTGCCATTCTCTTTGAGAAGGAAACCAAAGTGCAGATTTTTTTGTCAAAATTAAGGCCAAATTGTGGTATTGACCTAGTAGTTTTGGATACCATGTTTGAGGGTTTATACCCGTTTGTGACAGCGGATACGGCTAGAACGGTGTTCCGTAGGATGTAATCTTCCTTTTTTCTTTTTTGTTTTTTTAACTTTGGTTTACCAAAAAAATATATTTAAAATATACGGAGCTTAAATTTAAGATACTTTTTTATCACATAAATTTTCTTCAATAAAAAAAAAATACTCGTAAGATACTAGTGTAAGTTTGAAAGGTTCATGATTTAAAGTTAAGCAAAATTATTTTTAAAATCGTGTCCATAAAAAATTGAATCACGTATTATGAGAATATATTGTATCTTTCCTTTTGGTAAATAAATATTTTAGGTTACAAATAAATCAAATTAAATTTGAAATTAAAATTAAGAAATATAAGAGTGAAACAAATTTTTTAACTTTTTGATTTCAGTGTTCCAAAATATATTTTCATCATTCTAGATCAAGTGTTCTAAGACATTTTTAATATTATGAAATGAGTGTTTTGAAATATATTTAAAATTGTATATTGAATGTTGCAAAAACACATTTTAAATATTTCGGATTGAGAGTCTTAAAACATATTCTCCAAGTCATTCTCATATTTTTGTTCATTATTTTCTGGATTACCGAGGTGGCAGGTGCAGTGTGGGTTAAGGATCGTGAGAGTCAGGCGCAGCACTGCCTTTGTCTTGATATATAACATAAAACCACCTTATTAATAGTAGCTGGAATAGCTCAGTTGGTTAGAGCGTGTGGCTGTTAACCACAAGGTCGGAGGTTCAAGCCCTCCTTCTAGCGCTTTTGCTTTTCATTTTCTATGTTTGATGATTTATTCTTCTAGTGCAGTCACTTTAGTTTTTTTTTTTTTTTTAAAGAACGTGGTATTTTGATGATTTTTATAGTGCAGTAATTTTAGTTTTTTAATTTTATTTTTTAAGAACGAGCTATATTTTTTTTTTTCAAGAAAGATAAGAAAGATTACAAGATTGATCGTAATGAGAATTGAATTTAGGTCATCATATTTCAAACTATCTTAACTCTAGTGATTGATTGATCGAATTATATAAAAGTTTATATAAGATATATGATTCAATTATCATAATTCAATTAATTAATAAAAGAAAAATTGACTTAAGGGATAGCATGTTGAGATTGATTTTATACTGTTAAAACTAAAAAAAAAAAATAGTATATATATATGCATATAAATTTAAAAATTTTAATATATAGATCAAATTTATAATTTTTTTAAAATTTAAAAATTATTATATAAATTCTAATTAACGTATAAAATATTTATACATATATCTTTCAATTTGAATTAATCAAACAAAGAATCAAATGGTTTCTAAATTTAAAAAAAAGAATTATAAACTTGATTTATATATTAAAAAATTTAATTTAATAATTAAATCCTTAAAATTTAAAATCGAATATAAATTATTAAATAGAATAAATCTATCAAAATTTAAATAAAACTTTGTATATATATATATATATATATATATATATATTTATTAACTTATACCTACTTATTTTTAATTGAAAAAATTAGAAAGTTATATCCAAGTGTATTTAAAAATAGCATAATTATAACTTAATCAGTATACTTCTAAAATAGGAGTGTATATTAACGAGTTCTATAATCATTTGTTAACTTACATCTACTTAATTTTTATTTATACCAAGTTAGCAAACTATACTGAAAGCATTTTAAAAAAAAATAAATTAATTTAATTTGTTAATTTAATCAAACTAAAACACAAATGAGTATATAAAAAGAATAGTTAGTTTTAATAAAATGAGCAGTTATTTTTTTAAAAGAAATTATTTTTTTCCTTTGAAAATAAAATAGGAGTATAGATGTCTTGGAAAAGTAAATACCAAATAAATACATCTCCTTTATATATTATTATAAATAACATCATACATGATAAAAAAATATTACATAAATAATTAATTAAATCATAATACTCCATTAATAATGGAAGTGACTCCAAAAAAAGTGAATGAAAATAATTTTCAAGTGTAAAGATTTATATGTAAAGGAACCTGAAAAGCAAGCAAATGCCTCTAAACACACTATTTATTAAGTTAAGCAATTAAGAAATAATACATAAATAAATAATTTAGCCAACATATTTCGATTGATCCAATTCAAATATAATCTAAAATAAGAAAATAATTAAGCTAAATTTATTCAATTTGGATAATTAAAATCCACATCGATGAATACCGTTAGTTTGAATAAAGATGAACTAAACCCAACACAATCCATAAACATCTTCAATTTCTTTAATACCTGACTTTATAAAATGCTTATATAATTCGTAATTTTATAAAACATTAATTATTTTAATTTTAATATCAATTAAAATATAATAAAATCAATTTATAATGTAAAATAAAAAACTAAAATATTTTACACTTGCAAGTTGCAACTCGCGAGTCGTGGGTCTATTGCGAGTTTACTGGAATTCCGTACATAGAAGCATAAATCCCTCATTGAAAAAATGGTTTAACTCTGTTACACACATTATCAATTGAATTAACTTCCCGACATTGGAGGGAACCAACAACCATTCCCCAGTAAATTTGAGACATTTCTACAGCGAACTATTTCAATGGCAAGGCACCGAAAATTAAGTAGGATATACAGAAAATGGCACGTTATTAGAACTTTCAATTAGATTCTGATAATGATACCCCATCATCCTCATAGAACATAAATTGGCACAGCTTTCCACCTGCTTCATCAGCAAAGGCTATTTTTTTCCTCTCTTTACGCACTACTTGAGGCACTACATCTTGAGGAGGTGGACCATCATCAGCTAATTTCTGAAATTCATCAAAGATCAGTAATTAATCATACAGAAAATTGGAAACAGAAGAATAAAAGCTAGTTTCAAGAGTTGTGATAGGGAATGAACAAACCATTATCTTGCAGAAACGGCTGCAATCCCTTGACATGAAGGCCAGGCATCGTTTTGCAGCTTCTTCTGCCCTTGTGGCATTCTTAACAGCCATTCTTGCCTGAAAATCAATATCAATAATCAATAATTATTTACTAATCACCATATATATCAACTTATGTGCATGCCTCCACTAGAATAATTGAAATTACAAGGACTTTGGATCACTTTGCACTCTGCAGTTTTACATAGGAATAGAAGTTCCACCACAAAAAATGTAGGACAAATATTTCCCTTTCAAGTTAAATTTAATTTCTACCTTCAGCAATTAATGAATTAAATTGCTTGAATAACATCCACAATGACTAATGAATTAAAATTAATTTCTACCTTCAGCAATTAAATTATTTCAAATGAGCTGAAAATCTAGCAGGCTTCCATCAAATTATCACCATTCAGAAAGTAATATTGACTGAATAGGTTTGTGGTTATCATACCTCATTTACTTTATGTCTCAAGGACGTGTTTAGACAGAATTCAGATCGTAACATATCATCCACAATGTCCTTCATTGAATTCAATTCCCTTGTGAGTTTCATAGCAAGGCTTTCTACATCATGCATCTGCTGCTGTGTAAATGCAATTGCACTCTTTGAGCAACTCTGTACAGTGCTGCACCCTATGCGAGATGCTTGGCGAGAAGTATGAGGAATCTTGGAAATTCCTTTTGGATGGGAAACTCTTTTAGAAGTCCTAGGAATAACACTAATTTTGTTAGGGATATCAGTAAATCGTGCTCCTGTGACATCATCAAGCGTTTCTTCAGCTGTACCATTCATCTTATCAGTCTGCTCAGAAAAGCATAGTTTTCCCTTCCATTCTGCAATCATTATAACCCATTATAAGTAAAACAAAAATGCGGTAAAAGGTCGAGGTATTTTGAAGGAACAAAACATAATTATAGTTGCACATAATAAAGAAATTTGTAGCTGTTTTCATAGAAACAAGTTATAGTTGACACAAGTGACAGAGAGAAAGAGTTCAAGAAAAAGTATTTTCACTCATTAAATAAAACTATAAAAGCCTGTTTTATTTCATTAACATTTAAACTCTCAATATAATGGATCAAAGTTAGAAATATTACTTGTTTCAAACATCAGAATAACAGTGACCCCAACCCCATTATGGTTTAACTTTCCCATTTCATGATACTTCTCATGTAGACTATAACTATACAACCACATTTCACCTCTTTCAACATAATCTCTAATTTCTCAAAATAAAGGTGGGAGGTTTTAAACATGTAATTGCCTCCGATGGATCAAGATCACAGCATAAATACTCAAGGAACTTACTCAATTTGTTTTTATGATTCAAATCAACGGACTGCCTGGCTTTACAGAGCCTTTCCTGAGAAGATGGTGAAATTGCCTGAAAAGAAACCAACTAATGAGAAGAGGCAATAATGCAAACCAAGACAAATATAAATTTTATGGTAATATTTGCACCTTTCTGGTAGATGGAAGCCTTTCAGGACGATGCAGCTTTGAACTACCATTAAATTCATCCCAGGAAGTCAATTCATCAGTAGCCTCACTGATATGTCTCTTCTCATCAATGTTTACTGAAGCAAATGATTGCTTCTCATAATCAGGGATATCATCTGAGCAACGAACCAGACATCCATCAGAAATGGGGCCATGTTCAATGGTAGAACTGGGTTCTACCTGATTCTCAGAATCAGTTGTAAATTCATCAGAATTGGGGCCATCTTCAGTAGTAGAGCTGGGTTTTACCGGATCCTCGGAACCAGTTGTAAATTCATCATTATTGCAGTCACCGAGGAAAGTATTATCATCTTTAAGCTCTACATCTATGTATTCAAGGTCTTTAGTAGGCTCATTAGATAGTGAGACTGCGGTGTCGGTGTCACCACCGGGTTGACTGTCATAAATATCAGAGCTACGACCTTCAACCAGAGCGAGTACTTGTGGGGATATGTAATGAAGATCTGGATGGATGATACACTCTTCACTTTCAAATTCTATTGCAGGCATGAATGGAGATTGGTCATTGCTTAGTCCTGTATTACTACTGATTACAATATCCATACTAGATGGCCTCACCATTTGTAATGGAATAAGCTCAACACGCTCTTGCCACACATTATTTAATTCATTCTCCAAATTCCATTCGTAGATTATCTCTGCTTCTTGGCTCTCTATAATAGAATAGTTATCCTGCTCGCCAAAACAATCAGTTTCAGGAACCTCAGATTTTACTTCAATGAGGGCAGATGAATATCCACTAGAGGATGGGATTTCTTGATCGGTTACGATCACTTCACTAGAGGGTGGAAACTCTTGACCGTCTTGGATCTCTTCACTAGAGGGTGAGCACACTTGACCGTCTTGGATCTCTCCACTTGAGGGCGGAAACTCTTGACCGTTTTGGATATCTTCAGTAGAGGGTGGTAACTCATGACTGATCAGGATCTCTTCAGATTTGACAACTAACATAATCTCTAGGGTATTAGTAGAGATTGCGTCTTTAAAACACCTTTTCTTCTTCGCCTTCGTATTCTTTGATATTTTAGATTTCCAGCTGCTGAGAGTCTCCATGAAATCAGAATCATCTACTACCATTTGCTCCTTTCCGTAGTCCTCCGGGAATGAAAAATCTTCAATTTTTATGTTTCTTTCAGATGAGTCGAGACATTGTGAGTGTTTTCTCTTCCTTGTTTTGCAACTTTCTCTAATTTGCGTTAGGGTAAAATTGTCAAAGTCGTCATCATCCAAGTTATTGATTCTCTGATCATCACCATCATTGACATTACATACTGAAGCATCAGGCATGGTTTTCATAGTGCTTTCCTCAATTAAATCAGAGCATGATCTTTCAACAATTCCATCATCATTATGAGACAATAAGTCATCATATATGTCTGTGAACTTTTTAAATTTGAGTTTTGGTTGTCCACGAGCAACATTTGGAACTTTTGTAACTAAACCACCTTTAATGGCCTGGATGCAATGAAGCTGACCACAACACCGTAACTCCATATGGATGCTCTATTGCTCTACTCCCAAATCACAATCTTTGCACAGTATACTTCCGATATTCCCCGAAAATCTATCAAGAATTACCAACCACTGGGAACAGCAAAAGCAAACATTTAGAACAACGATTAAAGTACATGCAAAATCACGACTAATTTTGGATTTTCAAAATCAATTCTGCAAGAGAAGAACTTGAAAATAATTGATTTAAACTTCAAAAATGAAACTACTTAACCCCCCCCCCCCCCGGACCCAAGCAAAAATAACTTTTCCAAACTCACTTTTATAACACCATTCCCAAACACAAACAAATCCTTTTACCTCAACTTCTCCAAAATCTAAAATAAACAGACCCTAACTCATCAGACTCACGGGCAACAAAATTCATATAATTCCAACAGACAGTTGAATATAAATACCTGAATTACTCGTTTCAAGGAATCAACACTTTAGTCTTCGCCTATACTCCTATGCGGTAAATATCCAAAACACTTGCGGAACCTACATCAATTCCAAAGTTCAAACAATATAATAAGTGAAAATTCTATCACCAAAACATTAACTAAAACAGCAGTGAACACACACAAGAAAAACATAACATAAATCTGCACTAATCAGAACCACCAAGCTAGCAAAAACGGAATAAACCTCAAATCGAAGCGAGAACGCTCAAAACACAAAAACAAATCAAGAAATACACCATACTCATACTTATAGTACCAAAATCACACAACCATCGAATTAACACAAATCTGAACATTAAATGCCGTAGATTTCCACCGGCTAAATTAACCCTAATAATCGAATAGATTCGTAACTAGCTTTAAAATCATGTCTCCAAAGAAAACAAATCATTAGAAACTTCTAAACCCCAGAAGATTAAAAGGGGGAAAATACACAACGAAACACTTTCGCGGCTTAAAAAGTCACACGCGAATAGCTTGAGCCAAATTGGCGAGAAATCGAAAGCCAAAACAAATGAAAAAAAAAAAAACAAAAAAAAAAGCAGATTTGGAGTCTTCAGATCTAAAAGAGAAGAAGAGGGTTTTGCAAAGCGGAAACGGAATACATAAACGCTCACCTGAGGATGGACGAAACGCTGCGTTTCGGAGCGCGGAAGAGAGGAAAGGAAACAGATCTGAATTAGGGCTTGTTCGCGAATGTGAGAGCGTGTGTTAGAGAGAGAGAGAGAGAGAGATTTACATTAAAAACTTGGTCTGAATATGTTTTATAGTATATAGCAGTGATGAAGAGCGAGCGCGGCAATTGATTTTGGCGGGAGTCTACTATAGTTTTTTATTTAATTTTTAGTTTTCAATAAATTAAAATTATACCCAAAAAGGAGAAAATTATCAATTTAGTTTTAATTTTTTTTAACAAAAAAAGTTGAACTTAAAAAAAAGGAGGAAAAGTGTTAATTTAGTTTTAATTTTATTTAAACAAAGCACTAAACAACTAACTTATTCAACAAAAGGATTTCTTTTTATCCATAAAAACAGATAAAAATTGGGGAAAATGTTTCCTAAATCCTCTCTGATATTTCATACTAGTTCTGTTCATACCTAGTCAAATGACGTGGCCATATCTCTAAAGAAAAATAATAACTGTAGCATTTTTTAATTAAATTTAAATTTAAAATTATTATTTTACAAATTACAATTTTAAAGTTTAATTAATATCAATTTTAATGATATATGATAATTTGATTATTATATTTTTAATTATTTAAAATTATCAAATGTTTCAAAAACTAATTGTGATAACAACTTTATTCTGATTAATATATATCTTTTTTATCTTAAGGTTGCTATGATACATTTACTCTAGCTATATCTTTAATTGTTATGATATTATCTTGAATTATTTTATCTTTATCGGCTTTGATAATATCTTGAATGTTGTATAACATAATCCCTCTTATATATGTCTAAATGCTCTAATATATTTTTTTTTTATTATAATTTGTATTAAGTGTATATCTTGCTTTGATAAACGTCTATTAAAAACTCCTTGAAGTCATAATGTATGACCTTTTGATTGGATGATCTTGTACACACTTATTAACTTGTTATTAAGTGTTGTAACTATTCTTAAATTGTAACCTCTATTAGTGAGTACTTTCTTTTACATTTATAGTGAGTAATCTCATAAAAAAAATTATGAAGTGTAGAGCTTGTAAAAAATATTTGGGTTAGGTGATTTTTTAGATAAGATCATTGTTGTTGTAAGTCTAAAGAGAAATTAAAAATTTGTTTGTAATTGGACTTAGTTATAGTGAAAATATCTTCATATTGAAGAAATTGGATATATATATATAT